TTTTTTTGAGAAGGAATGAGTGTGATAGTGAAGAGGAAACGTCGGTATGCATAGAAAAGGCCGAAACAAAAAACATCGAAAAAAAAACGTCGAAATAAAAAAGGTAGAAAAAAATATCGAACGCATAAAAATGTTGAAAAAATTGTGGGTGTCAATGAAGAGAAAATTCACATCCATATTCATACTAGGATCCTGCAGGGTAAGGCTTTGCCGTACCCTATCCTCTTTCTAGCCTAAAAGTTTTACACTCTTACTCTATGCCAGGAGCAACGCGAAGAGGTCAAAGCAGGGAGGTATTTTTGAAAATGGGAGAAAATAAAAACTGCTTAGAATTTGACCACTTTCTTCGAAATTCGGAGAAAATTTGAAGTATTTTCTCTCAAAATATGCGAAAATCTGAGCTCAGTTCCCTCCAAATTGAAGAAAATTTGAGGTCATTTTCTCCGAAAACCCAGGAAAATTTGTTTGAGGTCACTTTCTCCTAAATTCGAAGAAATTTATGGCCGATCTTGTCAAAGCAGGTGGAGATCCCCAGTCGCACCGCCCCTGCTCTATGCTTTCCACGTCTGGCCAATCTAACCAAAACTAAAAAAAACAGCACTCATGGATCTATGGACTATAATAGATTCTAATGGATCTTTGTTATCAAATGGAGCCAAGTAGATTCATCTGGCTTCATGAACATCCACCTAGATCTCAAATCCACTTTTTCTTCCTCAAGGCTAACCCTACCTTACTCTATGACTCGCTAATTAAGCGTTACTCTACATGACTCTGATTCGTACTCCATACTCACATCTATTTTATGTTCAAATTTTCGACATTTATTTTTTCGACATAACTATCATTTGATGTTTTCATCATTCGACGGTTTTTCTTTCGATCTTTTTTATACCATTCGAAACGTCTGCTCACAACTTGCATATATATCTTCTCAGAAATTCGGAGATTTAATTCATACGTACAATATCTTTTTTGATAGCAAGCATTTTCATACTACTAAAACAGAGAATCGAAACGTTTTTTTCGAAAAAAAACCAATGCTAATAGTATCAGCACTGAAATTTCATCAATATATAATATAATATGCAAAGCGTACTTCACGGAAATATGTATGATTAACTTGCCAAGAAAATAGTATGGATTTATCTTTTGAGAATCAGTTTCTTTTTAATGCTTCGAGACCGACAAGAAAACCAGTAAATATCAACACCATATCAAAGGTAATACTCGAATTCAATATCTTAAAATCGAGAATTTTACCATCGCGACATGCTATCCTCTCATAATTATTGTCATTCATTATAATCAATATGTATTTTTTATCAAATAAAACAAAATTCTAACTGTCACTTGTTGTGCTCTTCTAGCTTATTTGATGAATTACACTTCTGCTCATTATCTTAATGCTTGTAAAAACGAAAATTTTGCAAGTATACTGTATTAGTCTCAACAAAGTATACAAACTAGTACTTCATACAGGATGAAACAATCCTATCCCATCAGTCCCATGGAGTGCAATTCTTTTGAAAAATGTCTCATGGGACAAAAAATATTTCAGAAATATCCTTGCTAAATCCATGGAGTACAGCAAAAATATTTTATGGAATCTCATGAGACAAACACGTTTTACAGAAATTTTTTCTTTACTAAGAACAACACGATTTTTTCGAAACAGATACCCTTTCTCGTTTATTCAAGCAAAGTGAGAGTGAGGAAAAATATCTTCCTATTCTGTGAGTGATTAAGCACTCTAACGACTAGGATTCGATATAACAAATGACAATGAATTAACATATAAAGTTACAACAACGCAGCTCTATCTATTCTAATAATAACAGATGATTTGGCTTTACTTCCACTTATAGTCGATAGAATGTCTTCAGACAATGCGTCATCTATTGTTCAATGTTAACCTGATCCATTTGATTCAGTAAGCTTGGTCACTGTTTCATCTTCTTCTATCATCACTTTATCATCATCTTTTACATGCTAACTCTACATCAGCTGTTCATGAGTTTAGAAATGAACGAATTCGTTGCCTATTAGATAAAGATCCATCGAATGGTAAAGTCATTAAAAATACATAGAATAAATTATCTGCGGTGTGTTCCTGCCAAAAAATTTCGTATAAAAGAAAAATTAGAAGCAACCTAGGGTTAGTCAGTTGTCAATCATGTTTTTAATCGTATGTATTTACATCGAGTTCTGATACGCGAGTGGTCCACGCGCATAGTTGTACTCAAAAGTTATTTTATAGTACAAGAAGAAGATCTCCTTCGGTAGGTAGTGATGGAGCTTAGATGAGATTAAAAACAGTTTACATTTATAAAAAATATGAAATGTATTATTGCATTGTGAAAATAAGTGAAAGCAATGTGAACCTAACTATAATAAAATTATGAAATACCAAATGAAATTATATTAAATTCAGTAGTATTAACTTTTTGATAAGATGTTTGACGAGTGTGATGTCCTATGGGATGGGTTGGACGAAATTTTTGAAAATTTTCCCATTTCACATGGGACAAAATTTTTACAGTTAATTTCCTCTCAAATGGGACTGTTTGCAATAGCTTATTCTATGAAACTTTTTTTGTCCCATTCTATTCCACGCAGATCCTTGATACAGATGCACTTTGTTTCAGATTTATATTGAAAGAGTCTCAAGTTATCATAAAAAGTGAAAATTGATTTACATCAAAATAGTTTTCGAAAATGGCACAAAATAAACGAGCTGAAGCACGAAGAAGACGCCCTAGTAAATAGAATATTTGATTTTTTTCAAAAAAAAATGTTATAATTATTTTTAATTTAGTTCATATTGAATGTCCCATATGTACTGATGAAGAAACTACATCATCAACATACCCATTGACTTATACGTAAATTCATGAAAACTATGTTGTAATGTTTTTTCTAGTTTTATTGTTTTTAGTTTACCAGATGTAGGAGAAGAAACAACATTCGATTATCAAGGAACGCCAATAAATATCTCAGTTCAATCATTAATAGAAACTAAACGACTTGGATTTGGAAGTTTCGGATTTGTTAGATTGGTTGAAGTTAAAGACCATCCAGATATAAAAATGGCTGTAAAAGTGAGTTAGATAGTTTTGTTAAGAAAAGTATCATAATTAGAAACTAATATTCATTGGTTCTTCATTTCGAACTTTTCAAATTTTCATCGTATGTGTATTTTCATATGACGAAGAATTGTTTTAATTTAATGTCTTAATCATGAACTATGTAATGTTATAATCTATATCACATAAGAAAAATGATGTACAAACATATTATGGTTTTGACAGATAAAATACTTATCATTGTTGACTATTTTGCGACAAGTAAATTATGTAGTGCTCAAGTATTTCTTTTACTCAAATCATGAGAAATTGATCATAGTTCATATGATGGCTTCGTAGTCGTTCTCTATTTTTTTTATATCGTTTGCATTAGACGTAATATGATGTTCTTTTTTTCGAAAATTTCTCTTCTATTCCAAAACTTTCGAAAAAAAATAAAGAATTTCTCGAACAGAATCTCATATCGCAGAAAAAATATTGTTTTCATTACTAAATATTATTACCATCTTCTGTAACTGTGCGCACAAATAATAGCAGCAGCATGTATATAGTTACTCGTCCCCTATTGCGATTGAAGTGATTAAGTTACGATGAAATTAACATTTTTTGTTTTGCAACCATTTAGTCAAAGGGTGCGTATATATACGAGCTGAACTGTGATGTAGATTATAACTCTTACAATTTTCTCTCTTTTTTCGTTCATAACGTATTCTTTCCTTTATGCTTGACAAGTTACAGCATTACTATATGACATGACTGTGCATGTATATCAAGTACAGTCGGTAACAAAATTTGAGCGAATTTATTGTTCTCACTTTTTCTCTTTTATCTGTTTTTTGAAATTTCCTTTCACATTATTGAAGAGTACGAACCTAATGGAAACGGTTATATAGATAGTATGAGATGTCGACAACATGATGCACTATAATAGGAGAAACTCTGTCTGTCTGTATAGATTTTTCATAATTAAAATGATTTTTCATGCAAATGTACATGTAACTACTTTCAAGTATTTTGTTTATCCTAATCATTTCATGCTCTATCAGTTTCTAAAAAGCTTCGTTTCGAGAATTGATCTTTACCTAAAAACCCTGATCTTAGCGAGAATAACCAGCAAAAACACTGACTGTTTTTTCGTCAAAATAGTTCAACAAGGAAAGTGAGTCGTTGTTTTGAAAATTTTATTGCAGAAAGATGAGCATGAAAATCCATGATATTAAGCCTTTAAATACAACGTTTTGTGCACTTTTAAATATTCTTTTCAATAGTCTATAAAACATTGCGATACAAAAGTTTGTATAAGGTAATTTTACCTTTCCCGTTTTGCTGGTTATTCTCGCTAGGATCAAGTTTTTGAGGTAAATAGCAACTCTGAAAACGAAATTTTTTTAGAAACTGATAGAGTATGAAGTTTTATATTGATAGGCCAATTTTTTCCGTTCTAGTGGAAACCTCTTGGTTAGGAAATGCAAAATACTCGAAAGTAGATAAATTTCCTTTTACGTGAAAAATCTATATAGATAGACAGCGTTCCCTCATGTTATAATGCATCATGTAGTCGACATCTCATACTATCTATATCACCATTTCAATCAAATAAGTACCCTTCAATAATGTAAAAGAAAATTTGAAAAAATTAATAAAAGAAAAAATTGAAAAAAAAAACAAATTTGCTTAAATTTTTGTCATCCACTGTAGAGCATCCAAACAGGAATCCATAAAATTGCGTCGAATTCTACAACTAATGTTTCTCTAGAAAGCGTCAAATACTGCTAAAATTCTAATCTTACATAAGTTTAAATGTTCAATTTTATTAGATCTACATCATGATATGCTTCCACAGGATTTGATGTAGAGCTACGCGAAAGACTTCGCAATGTTTTTAGCAACTATAATTGATTTTTCAAGTACTGAGTTTCGTAGTGTTGGTTGAAATCTATTGCAATCGACAGGTTTTTTTTTTGGCGAGTTTTCTTCCTCTTTGGAAAAGCCTTGTAATTAAAGAGTTAAAGGTTCTCACATAAGGCGATTATTTCTTATGCAGGAAAAGCAATAAGATCATGAACACAAACACGTGTAGCTACACCTGTCTTCTAGACAATTCATCAGAGAATTAGAATACTGTTTTTTTAGTGCAATGTAAATAGTTCGAATCCTTTTCTATTCATACTTATACTCATCCTCGTGCAATAGCATATAACACAGTGGACAGCTTTCTATCCAAAGAATGAAAATCTTCAGATTATATTTTGATGATGTCATGAGCAATGAAGAACTGCATTTAAGCGTGAATCTGAGAGTCAAGAGCATCAAAAGGCATGTGCGACAAAGAAGTGTAGTCGCGCGTTATCAACAGAACGGCACGGATTTGGTCGAACGAAAAAATGTCTATCATATAAAAATATCCTAAAACTCTCAAGATATCGTCAAGTTGAAAGATTAACTTTTTTTGTTCTTCTCTTCTATCGATCGATCCTTACTCAAATAGCGAAATAGTTTTGCTCAAGCATGACAAAAGTGAAACACCATCAATAAGGTTTCAAGATCGAATCTACATGTTAACGAATGATTTGAGAATGGAACAATTAATGCTGAAAATGTGTTAATTAATTCATCATTTGATCGTCATAAAAAAAACATACTAATGTTAACAATTATTATACAATTTTCTAGTCCACAGGTTTATCAAATTTTCTTACAATAAGCATCATTTCTCGTTATCAATTGATTTACGTTCCTTTTTCTTGCATCAAATGAAAAATTCTTGTATTCTCAAATGAATATTACTATGTTAACTTTTCTTATCATTTTTTTTCATTCGATCAAGTCAAAGTTTATCCATTACTAGGGAGCGTTTAGTAATTTTCATCTTCAGGTCGCCTGCTATTATATGTGGTCTGTGACCGGCAATGAAATAATCACTTTCGGATGCATTGTAAAGCCAATCTGAACTTATTTGAGCGGCTCTATTTCAAGTAGCTCGTTAGAATTTACGCAACGAATGCTAAACATATTTTGAAGATATCAAAATGAACGTGTTTGACCGCATTTCAAATATAGTAGAAGTCGAATGATATATGAATACCGCCATTTTCAACAACAAAATCACTTTGACATGTCTAAAGTGCGTTTCTTGATCGTACCAGTAACCTTGAGTGCTTCTGCAGGGTTTGAAAAGCTACTAAATTCTTCTTTTAGAGAAAATAAGTATCCCATATATTTCTCTTACACTTATTCAAGATTCTATATGCATAGTGCTATTAAGTTTTAATATATTCTTATATTTTCTAATAGTGATGCTAGAAAGTCAGTTCATATATGTTCTAAAATTTAAGCGTACTAAGTGGCTTGTTGGACACTTAGAATCACATAATGATAATATTTTTGATGTAATAGTCTAGGAAAAATATTTTTTTGATAACTTAAAAAAAAAAACATTTTCTATTCTAAAACATCATTGAATCATAGAGTGATTCAGTTTTTATCAAACCTGGATGAATCTCTCACGAAATTTTTCTTTTCAACCTCTTAGAGTTTATCATTTCGATGAAAATAAATTGGACGAGTTTTGTATGATTTTAAAAATGTTTTCTTTTATATTCCTAGAGAATAAGTCTAGCTTCAAGTCAAAATAATGCAAATGATTATACAGCGAATATCGATCTTCGAACAATGCATGCAGTTGGTTCAGGATTAAATCCGCATTTGATTAGGTTCTATGCTTCAATCATTGATCGTGTGCGTAGAAACAATATTGTTATGTATTCATATAAATGAAATAATGTTTGCAAACAGGTCGAGTACGAATTACTCATTTGTATGGAACCATGTGAAACATCAATGGATAAATTTTATACCACCATGCATGCAATAGAAAAAACACAACATCTTGATTTATTACTTAAACGCATGATTAATCATGTATGAAATATAAAATAAGAGGTCTAATAAGTGATTTTCTTTGTTTTTTTTCTTCTTTTTAAGATTGCTGATGCACTTCTTTTTCTTAAATCACAAAATATTCTTCATCGAGATGTTAAACCATCTAATATCTTATTAAATCAAAATCCTATCATATTTAAACTTTGTGATTTTGGTACATGTGGTCAATGGTATTGTTATGTGGCGTCTTCATCAGTGCAACGATCACTAAATTATTTAGAGGTATAATAATAATATAATGTTTTCTTTTAAAAATTTATCATTTATGCTAGCCTGAACGAATGCGTCCAAATTCATCAACTCATGGATATAGTATACGATCGGATATGTGGGCATTAGGTCTTTCTATTGTGAGAAATATACTTGTTTGTTTTTATTTTTCTTTATTTTTTGTTTCTTATAGGTGGAAATAGCTACAAATAAACATCCATTTTCTACAATGAGCATACTTCAACTGATGAATGAAATTAAAACATGGATACCTGAGTTACCACCAAATATATCAGCAGAATTACAAGAACTTGTCTTTTGGTTGTAAGTTATTCTATTGAAATGTTTTTAGGTAGTTATGTCTTTTTCATCTGAAGAGTTTTTTTAAAAAATAGATAATTTATCATTGATATGACAGCTTCAAAAAATTCAACTACACCAACTGTGCTTTTTAACATGTTCATAAACTTTCGCCTTTATAAAAAAATAATTGAATTACTTTCACTGATAATAATCAATCATAAAAATAAATTTGTGGATAAAGTTTTGGAAACTTTTAAGTAGTCATCAATCGTTCTAAAACGACTTATATAAATATTGAATATAGTAAAGGAAATTATATGCGAACAAACAAGTGTTGCTTAATGTTATAGGTTTTCTGTAGTATCTAGAGGAGATGACGATCTGTCCAATGAAATGTTTAATAGAACACTATTATAATTCAATACGAGTTTCAGAATATCCTACAGTTAAGTGAAAATATGTAATACATAGTGACATGATTGACAACGCATCTTCATTGCTAAATGAGAGTTTAGCCGTCATTAATTTGAATGCTGCTCGCTTAAAACTGAATGTTTACGATTGTCAAATTTTAATCGAATAGTAATATTATCAATTTTATTTTCATCCATCAACAATATCATTCGAAGATCTAATTGCATTCGGCATGGTAAGTTTGAGTACTAGTTATATCCTTGTAACCAAATATCGATAAGAGCTATTCGTGATAATATGTGTTGATAACATTAAGGCGCATTTCAAAGGAACAAAAAAGGATAGATATATTTTTTTTGTATGACTTTTGATAGAAACGAGATGAACAGCTGCGATTTTCATTATAACAAAGACGAAATGAAGGAACATTGATTCGTATGTTATAGGTTTTCTAATATCTTGTCTCAAGTTCTTTTTACCGAATCTCTAAGGAAGCAGGTTTTTTTTATCCGGAAGCAGAGAGCAAACAAGTCAATTTTTCAGGGGAATTACTAAACAAAATAGTTTTTGAGTTTCGAATAGAATACCTATGATCCCTGAATGATTAAAATCTAAACACCTAAGGTGTGAATAGCTTTGTAGATTTCCGATTAGTAGTTTGAATATACACCTGATTGTTGAAAATTCACTGTAGATTTCACATGGATAGGTTTGTTTTTAAAATAGTCGACTGAAAAATCTTTATCTTATCTTTCTAATGATGAAAACCACAGCTCTCTGTGTTCTTGCTATCAAAAGCTATTCATAACAGATCTTCTTGTTTTTTCTTTTGAAAAAGGTATCCGTATTAGTGACACATCTTATAACGAAAAGCTCTTATCGAAATTTAATTAATAGAATGTTAACTAAAGAATTGTGTAATATAGCGCATACTTTTTACTATCAATGAATACGAGAGAGAGATTTTCTTCAAACTATCTATGTGATATCAAAATACCACCGTCACTAATTTTCGATTACTCTATTTCGATTAGATGTAATAATTATGATTTACCTTGGAACTCTCTTGATATAATGACTTATCAGTTTTGCAGAGTTTTTTTAAAAAATAGCTATTGTTTATCATGAAATGCAACAAGTTAATGGAAAATATACTAAGGAAGAATTTGTTTTTGCATTCATTTCATTTACTCTAATGTAATACAAAGTCATTCTTCTTCAAATATTGGATCCTAAATTATGCATTCTAAACGCAAAAACATTTATGAAGATGATGTCTTGATTTTCTTTATAGATAATATCTTTATTTTTATGCAATGAAAAATAATAATCAACATTCTCTTTGAAATTCTTTTAGACTAAAAATACAACCAGAAGATCGACCGGAAAGATATGAAAACATTTTGACATCACCTGCTATACAATCATTACCTACAGAAATAACTAAGGAAGAAGAAGAAATGGTAAAAATTATTATTGAACATATACCACAAGCAAATGACGATTAGCTTCAAACTATTATATCTTCTAATTTTATATAAACCAGCGAACTTTTTGTTTTTTTTGTTCTCAAAAACTTTTAATATGAAATTCCTATAAACGAACGAATATGATAATGTATACTGTTGTTTTACATTCTTCAACTCTGATAAGCACTGTTTCAATGGTGTTTTAGTGAAAGACGATCTAAAAGAAGTGTTGCAGTGTGTATAATAGAAATTTACATCTCCCTTAGAACATGGCAGATATTAGCCAGAGAAATATATTCGATTGATTATTTGTAGCTTTTGAAGAAGTCGTTGAACAAAAAAGAAGATATCTAAAAGAAGCGATATTGTTTTTTGCTTATTGTGCACATTGTAATTGCTTGTAATATCATCGAAGAGGTACTGTAAATGTTTCCTTATACAAAATATCGCAATTGCTGTCATTTTCAAAAAGCAATGATTCTGACTGTTTTTTTGAATAATTTTGAATAGAAACAACATAGAGATCTGAAGTTTTCACTATTTTCAAGCTGGAAGATCTATTATCACCAATGTATGCTGAAATCCGATCGATCAACAATTGATCAATGAGGTGCGTTCTCTGTGGAGACTTTGCAAAAGAGATATTTTGAAGCTGTTTCTCATTGAATTTTGATTTAGAATATGACCAAGCAATAAGAAAAATTCTTTCTTTTGGATCCTCGCATGTCTCAACTTTATAGTATGCTCGATTCCAGAGTTATAAGGGTTTTTTCGAGATTCTCGATTTCAGTAAATTGACCGTGGAAGTATCCAAAAGAACTCAAGTCAGGGATAATTCATCATTCTAAATTGAATGGAAATATTTGCTTTTAGTTTCAAGGCAACCTGAGATCACTATTTCAGTGTTTTTAAAATTTTAAAAGTCTCAAAAATTGGTCTCTAGTCGCTTTGAAATTGATAATAAACATCACCATTCGTCCCAGCACAATGAATTACTCGTGTCTTGAATTCTTTTGGAGTCTTCCAAGACCAATTCGCTGAAATCAATGGTGTCGAGAAAACCCTTTTAACTCACTCTACAAAATCTGCGCAAAGAATTCACCTGATTAATCAAGTATTGACCAACCAGATTTCAACCTTCATAGATGGCCACAGGTTCGTTCTCGCCAATGATGAAAATTCTAGATCTCTATGTTGTTCTTATCCAAAGTTATTCAAAAACAGTGAGAATCATCGCTTTTTGAAAACGAAAGTATTTAGACTTGACTAAATCAGTTTTTGCAATACATTGAAGACCAATGAAAAAGAATAGCATAGGTTCGAATGTTATAAAAACATTGGTTGATCGATTTTCCCATAATGATTCATAGGCTGCTGTGGTTACAACCAATATCAGTATGTCGAACATTAAGTCGATATTTTTCATGCCAGACGCGTCAAAGCAGAAGCAAAATATACCAAACATATGCCACTTTAGAAGTTCATGCTATTGTCTATATTGTTCAATATAGCTTGATATGGAATGCGGTTTACTGAAGAAATGAATACATTGTTTTTGGTAGTATCCTATACATTTTTGGAAGAAAAAAAAATACTAAATGAAACCTTATTCAGATTCGGTAGATTACTCTGTTTGGTACAACTACTGCTGTTTAGTGACATCCTCACACCCACACTCACAATGATTGCTGCATTAAGCGTACCAATCGTGTGTGAAAGTGTAAGTAAACTCGAATATTAACCCTCGATTATTTTTATTTATTTTCGATTTATCTTATATAGGACAATAATAAACGTAAATTTCATATAGATATATACACAGATCAAAACTAATTTTGAAGTTCTAGCTTTGATTTTACAATTGATTTGAGACAATAGAAAAAAAATACTAATATTAAAACGATAAATTTACAATGCTTTTCTAAAAACTGAATTACATATATTTCCTTGAAATAAACTTTTGATACAACATTAAATAAAAAAATTCTATATTATAAATGTACAACATAGAAATCAAATTCTAAATTATGTAGGAAATATTTTTTTTGAAACAAGGAGTTTACTCTCATTATTTGTATCATGTGACCTTTTCGTCAATAGTTTGAAGAAATCTTGTACATTTTGTTCTAGACATCTTTTCAGTATCACTTTCCTATTCTGCATGTACTCGTATTGAAGATATAAAATATTTCAGTTCTGATCAGTATCATCATTGATGTTGATCCACATACATGTCTTAATGCAGATAAAGAATAGGAGTATACATATATATATCATATCGAAGTTACTGGTTCGAAATGTATAAAGGTTTAGGTAGTTTTTCATTTGAGAAACATTTATATGATTTTTTTTTTACAAATAAACAAAGAAGAAATTATTGAAAAAAATCAAATATTACTTTTTGTTAATATTTTATATAATTATAGATATGATGTGGCGATACTAAGATTTATAACTAACGAATAAGATCTCTAGAATATTATTCTTTGAATTTAAGCAACATATTAAATTCATATTAATAAAAAAAAGGTACATATCAGGATAACTTAAACGTTTACCAAAGGCAGATTCACATTGAGTAAAAAATAAAGACTTTATTTGACTGAATTTTTCAAGCTTATGTTTCAGGATTATCTATGCATCAGTCCAATATGAATTCTATTAGTGACACTAAATCTTTCGATCATCTAACAACTACTAATAAATCATTTATTAGAAAATAAAATACTAATATGCTTTGCACATTAACAAAGGTACTTTGGTTGTCGCTAGTTCATAAGAAACTCAATCAGCATATATATTAAAGACCTTCATTTAAAAAAAACAATAACACGTATCCAAAACGATATAAATTGTTTTCAAAGTAAAATAAAGCTTTGTTAGGAATCTACGCTGAAAAAAACAAGCATTTCTTCACTATGCTTCATACAATATCTTTCTCTGATCATACTGTAATTATTAAATTATCAATAAGTCTCGACAAGATATTTTAACTTCAGAATCAGTTTTCTTTTAATGTCTCAAAATCAAGAGTTTTAACTTCAACGTATATCTAGCATTGTACTTATTGTCATATATTATAAGAAACATGTATCTTTTATAAAATAAAGAAAATATTCAACTATTATTTTTTGTACTCTTCTATATTATTAGATAAATTAAATTTTTCTACAGAATCATAATCCTTTTGTAAAGAAAATCTACATGTATACTTTGTTAATATCAACAAACTGTACAAAAACATTTTATTTTTCAGATTTATATTGAAATAAGCTTAAGTTGCAACGAAAACGAAAAAGTTAATTGGACTAAATATAGTTTTCGTTAATGGCACAAAATAGACCACTTGAAGGAGGAAAGAAAAGGCCTATTTGTAAATAAAATATATTTGTTTTTTTTTTTCAATAAATTCTATGATTACTTTTGATTTAGTTCGTATTGACTGTCCTACATGCATTGATGAAGCAACTTTGCCATCATCAGACTCATTGTCTTATAAGTAAATCAATGAAAACTATTTTGTAAATACTTTTTGTTGTTTTACTATTTTTAGACTATTAGATGTAGAAGAAGAAGCAACATTTGATTATCAAGGAACACCAATAAATATTTCAGTTTACTCATTAATAGAAACTGAAGAACTTGGCAGTGGAAATTTTGGAACTGTTATGTTGGCTGAAGTTAAAGGACGTCCAGAAATAAAAATGGCTGTGAAAGTGAGTTTGATAGTTTTGTTACGAAAAGTATCTTGATTATAATCTAATATTTATTGTTTTTTTTATTTGAAATTTTTCAAATTTTAATCGTATATTTATTTTTACGTGATGAAGATTTATTTCAATTCACTGCCTTAGTCATAAACTATTGAATGTCATATTTCACATGACATGAGCAAAATGGTGAACAAAACACTATTATCGTTTTAATACATATGAAATACTTATCATCATTGAATATCTTCGATTGATAAATTATATAGTGTTATAATACTTTTTCCTTCTTAAATCATGAGACATCGCTTATAGTTCACCTGGTGGTTTCTTAGTCGCTCTACATTTCCTTTTCTTTCTAAATCAGTTCTATAATATCCTATTTTTTAAAACTTTCTTCTTTTCCGATATATTTCGAACAAATGCAGATTCTCTGGAGCAGATGCATATGTCTTTGATAAAAATTTCGTTTGCGTTGCTTTCCGTGTGATTACCAATGTCTACAACACAATGTGCAGCTGATAGTAGCAGCATGTACATAGTTGCTCGTCCCTCATTGCTGTGGACTTAATTAAGTTGTGATGATATTGACATTTTTTTGTTTTTTAACCATTTAATTACAGAGTGTGTACTTATACGAACTGAGCTTTTATGCAGATTATTACTTTTACAATTTTCTCTCTTTTTCTTACGCTTTTCATATTACAGCATCATTATATGATACCATTGTGCATGTATATCAAATAAAAAACAAGAGATTGTGAATTGAGAAGTTGATGAGATTTCATAGCCTCTCTATACATTCAAATCGTTGAAAGTTCTGTGAAACCATATAGAAATCTACAAAATCGCGTGAAACGCTAAGGCTGGTGTTTTCCTATAAAGGTTGAATTACCACTAAAGCTCTAATCTTACTAAGGTCCAGACGTTCAATTTTTTTAAAATCTGTTTTGTGATATCTCACTGCAGAGATATTTATAAAGTTTCGCGAAAGATTTTGAAAAATCTTCGGCATCTCTACCTGGTTTGGTAGGTACTGATTTTGCTGGTATCAATTGAAACCTAACCCAATCCGCAACTTTTCTTGAGCGTGTTTTCTTTGTCTTTCGAAAAACATGGTAATCAAAGAGTTAAAGGTTCTTGCATAAGGTGATATTTATTATACACGAAAATAAATAAGATCACGAACGTAGAAAGGTTTAGCTATATCTGTCTTCTCAATAATTCATAAGAGAATTAGAATACTGTTTTTGAATGCAATGTAAATAGTCGAATAGCTTTGTCGAATCAAACTTATACTCATCTTAATGTAACAACACTTAACACAGTGGATAGCTATGTGTATCGAAAGAATGAAAAACTTCCGAATACATCTTGATGATGTAACGAATAATGAAGAATTGCATTCTATCATGAATCTGAAAATAAAAGCACCAAAAGGAGTGTGAATTAAAGACATATAGTTCCATGTCTTTGATGCAATGACAATCATATAAATATAGAGAAAAACTATTTCAAAAAAGTCATTAGGTTGTATACAAACAACGCTAAACACGTTTTTAAAATATAAAATGAAAGTTTTTGAGGATATCTAAAGTATATTGAAACTTCAATTGCTTTAAAATACAATCATTCGCAACAAACAATCAATGAGATGTTTCTAAAATGCATTTCTGGATCATGCAGGCAATGTTCAATGCTACTGTAAGGCTCCAGAAACTTCTACAAACTTCTCTTAGAGAAAGCAAATGTCCTATATATATGTCTACATTTTATAACAGTGACGCTACGCAGCCAATGCATGTTTCCAAGACTGTATTATATCAATTAAAATAGATTAAAAAGGTTTCGTATTATTTTAAGAATGTTTTATTTTACATCAATAGCGATTAAATCTAACTCCAAGTCAAAGTAATCCAAATGATTATACAGCGAATACTGATCTTCGAACAATGCGTGCAGTTGGTTCAGGATTAAATCCATACGTAACTAAGTTCTATGCTCCAATAATTGATCGTGTTTGTAGAAACAATATTATTACTTATTTATATACATAAACTATTATTTGCAAATAGAGCACCTGCCAATTACTCATTTGTATGGAACTATGTGAAACATCAATGGATACATTTTATACAACAATGCATGCAATAGATAAAACACAACATCTTGATTTATTACTTAAACGCATGATTAGTCATGTATGAAATATAAAATAAGAGGTCTAATAAGTGATTTTCTTTGTTTTTTTTCTTCTTTTTAAGATTGCTGATGCACTTCTTTTTCTTAAATCACAAAATATTCTTCATCGAGATGTTAAACCATCTAATATCTTATTAAATCAAAATCCTATCATATTTAAACTTTGTGATTTTGGTATATGTGGTCGATTGATTGATTCAGTCACAGGTACAATGACGAAAGGAACACGAATTTATTTAGCGGTATTATAATAATAATAATAATAATCATATAATGTTTTCTTTTATAAATTTATCATCTTTGTTAGCCTGAACGAATCGATGGAAATTTATCACCTCATGGATATGGTATACGATCAGACATGTGGGCATTAGGTCTTTCTATTGTGAGAAATATACTTGTTTATTTTTATTTTTCTTTATTTTTTTGTTTCTTATAGGTGGAAATAGCTACAAATAAACATCCATTTTTTCAAATGATAGAGCCGGCTATTTTAATTATGATTGAAACATGGATACCTGAGTTACCACCAAATATATCAGCAGAATTACAAGAACTTGTCTTTTGGTTGTAAGTTATTCTTTTGAAATGTTTTTATGTAGTTCTATCTTTCTTATCTGAAGAGTTTTCTAACGACTAGATGAATTATCATTGATATAATAATTTCGAAAAATTCAAATAGACCAACTGTGTTGCTCAAGATTTAAATCAACTTTCAGCTTCATAGAAAATAATAAAATAACTTTCACTAACAACTATCGATCATAAAACATAAATTTATGTATAAAATCCAGGAAAATTCTAATGTAATAATCAATTGTTTTTGAATGACCTATATGAAAATTGGCTATGGTAAATGAAGCTATACGAAGACAGAGAAGTGTTTCATAGTGTTATAAGACATGTATCAAATTCAAGAGATTAAGATCAGACAAAAGAAATTTTTAATAGAACACCATTATAATTTAATATGAGTTAGAAAACATCTTATAATCAAGTTATCATATGTATTACAATAGTGGCATGATTCACAATATATTGTCATTGCTTGACTAGATTCTAGCCGTCGTTACTTTGAATATTACTCATTTAAAAATGAATGTTTACGATAGTTAAATTTAGTCGAATACTAAAACTGTCATTTTTTATTTTCATCCTTCGAAGGTGTGTCACACCAAGGTCAAATTCCATCGAGCATTGCTATTTCGAGAACTAGTTAATTAAGAGATGATTTCGAGCAACTATTACTTGAAAAGATATATGCGAAGTGGCTTGACTGTATTATATACATTGACAGTAAAAAAACAGTGCTTAACTAATATCCTAGTAATACAATATTAATAAGAGATATTTCTGATAATGTGTTGATAGGACTAATGCGCATTACGAAGAGGAAATGTGTAGAAAAGGTTTTTTCTGTATAACTTTTACTAGAAACAAGATAGACGCTTGCAGTTTTTATTGTTAGAAAGATAAAATGGAGACAAATCGAATAATTTATAACACATCTCTCCAATATGTTTTCTCAAGTTGTTTTAATCAAAGTTCTAAAAGACAGATTTTTTATTGAGAGGCGAAAAGTAAGGAAGTAATTTGTAGGAGAATCACTAGAAAAATAGACTCTAAATTTTGAGTGAAAACCCTATGATTTCTGAGAGAGTAATTCTAAATATCTGACCCTTGCATAATTTTGTAGATTTTTGATTGATATTTTGAATGTAACCCTTATCTTTGAAAGCTTGCTGTAATATTTCTCATGGGTAGGTTTGTTTTCAAAATAACGAATAGAAAAACTTTAAAACCTTATAATCGACAGGCCCATATATGTTATTATCTTATCTTCCTACTGATGAAAAATGCAGCTTTCTATCTTGTTACTATCAAAAGCAATTCATAAAAGATCTAGTCGGTTTGTTTTTCTTTTGAAAAAGGTATTAGTATTATTGACACACATCGGAATAAATAGCTCTTATTGAAATTTAATTAGTAAAATATTAGTTGAAGAATTATGTGATATAACGCATTGTTTTTATTATCAATATATACGGAAGAGAAAGAGTTTCTTCAAACTGTTTATATGATATTAAAGTGCTATCGCCACGACCTTTCGATTGGTCTAATTAGATTAAATTTGATAACCATGATTTATTCAAAAAAGAACTTTTTTTTGGTTTTCTTCTTTTGTACTCTAATACAATACAAGCTCATACTTCTTCAAATAATAGATCTGAAATGATACGCTCTAGACATCATAGCAATTATGAAGATGATGTCTAGATTTTCTTTACTCGCAACATCTTTATTTATTATCCATTGATGAATAATAATTAATATTTGCCTTGTAATTCTTTTAGACTAAAACGAAAACAAGAAGATCGACCGGCAAAATATGAATATATTTTAGCATCACCTGCCATACAATCATTACCAACAGAAGTAACTAACGAAGAAGCTGAAATGGTAAAAACTGTTATTGAGCATACACCGCAAGTATATGAAAATTTCAATTAAATTATTATATCTTCTAATTTTGTACTCATTTTTTTTATATAAATTAGTGAACCTTTTGTTTTTTTGATAAATAAATTTTATTAATTAAATCAGAAAATAATGATAATAATAATTCATTATATAGTGTTTAAACGCCCTCTATTTTCCTTGATGCATCTATTGTATTGGTTCCAAAAAACTCTTACATAAATTACCAAATGTTCCTATTCTTTTTTTTGTTTGTTCCATTATATGACGTATATTTGGCAATAGTAATTCTTCTATTTTGTGTCAACATATTTTCGTTCTCATTTTTCATACGACCATTCATTTAATGAGAATAAATTAAGCGTTTTTTCATTACTTTCACTTTCAAAATGCACGTCCTTATTATTCTTCTCTACTCCTGCTACCTTTCGCAATATCATACACTTTACATAGAAGGTGATCGAAGAAAACATATTTTACCCCTCCTTTTCTTATTAATGTTGATTATGGGTAGAAAGACTATTAATAAAGACACATGGTAATCTTTTTTCCTGTCTTACTCTCTATACATCTAGGGTGACATTCACTACACGGGGACAAAACATAAATCAGCAAACAAAATAAGAAAATAAAATATGTCATTTGATTTCTGTATCAGACAGGTACAGAAGGTAAAGTTGTGCATTGAAAATATCTTATGATTAGTTTCAGCTTGCATGTTTGAGGTATTCGTATGGTTTGATTTATTTTTCCTATTTGATAATGAAATGTTTTCTATACAAGGCAATATATGTTTAGAAGTATTTAATTGAATGTATTTTTACTTTTTATTTTTTTATACATGTAATTCCATGGATACGAATGAATCGAAAGAGATGCATACGATTGACCTCTGAATATGTTTTTGTTTTGTAATTTGTTTCATTCTTTGGTAGAATGAATAATAGATTGATTTTGTATAATATTTTCATTATTTTAGATCGTTTGCTTTCATATTAAATAAGTAATATGGCTCCATTTACTTTTACCCTTTTTGCTCCGTACAATAAACAAGCAGCATTACGAGTTTGTTTCGTATTTATTTTCGAATTATGTTTTATTTATGTTAATCCTTTTTGTTCAGTTAAAAAATGCAAATGTTCGAATGTTTGGTGTTGATATTCGTAAGAAAATATATTCTAGAAATGTATTATTTATTAATTTGTCTAAATATTAGTTATGGAAAAAGATGAATCCGATGGTTATTTTCGAGCAACTGTAGATTTAGCGGATGGTATTTATCATTATCAATATAAAAGTAAATGAAATATTTTTGTTTCATAGAAAAAGTCAAGAACTTAGTATTTTTTTTCATAAATAGTTCAAACAAAATCATGGTTTGAACAAGAACCAGAACCTGCATTACCCAATTATGATGATGATGATGAATTCAAAGATCTATGTAAGAATCAAATTTTATTTTTAAACAAAGAAAATCTTTAAGATTGTCATACAGTAAAAAGAGTAATAATAATCACGAATCGTATTATCATCATCGAATTTTGTAATTTTTATTTTTTTTCGTATGATATCTTTTACATTCAATTGTATTTTACATACATTATCGGAATAATTATGCAGATCTCATTGTTTTTTGTTTTTAGCTAATGAAGAAAAACAAGAAAAAACTGAAAAATATACTAAACTAATTGATGAAATTCGAGAACGAAATCGACAACGTGAACATGAAGCGACATTTACAGAAATTTGGTATACATTTGTTGATCCATATGCAACAGATGTTGATGAACGTGGAAGTGGTAAATAATGTTTTGTTTTATGAGAAATTCCGAAAATTCATTTCGTTAGACTTTAAATGTAATTTATTCAGAAAGTGTCTACATGATTCAAACCAGACAAAAAATCGTTCGATATTATATGCGCTATATTGGCGACTGATTCGCAGTATTATTCAGTAATAACAAAAATATTCCTGGAATACTGTCTGTACTTATGAGCATAGGTGGACCACCAAAGAGCAATTGATAGCGATTGGTAAGTCCAAGCATAGTTAGTATTTTACACGTGCTTGTGATACATGCCAATTAGTTACTGAAACAAATGTATTTTATTGTACCGAAAGATAAGACTATATATGTCAATAGTAAAATTCATATCAGATCAGAATAAGAAATGAGATATTTTTTTTTCTTTTTATGTCGTTTCACTCTAATAAAATGTTTGATACGTCTGGGCAAATTGAAATAAATTATTATCATTTAATTTTGTTATTTTCAAGCTAAGGAAAGAACGCAATCTTATTTGTAATTGACAGTTCGTATATTAGGTTTTTACCGATAGACTATCAACTATTTTGTTGATGATAGTTCTTGTCTGTCAACTGTTGAACTACATAGAACTAAGCTTAGATTAGAAATTCAATGCAGAACAAATATGTCGGGCAGATCCAAGGGGGAAAAAGCGAAAATGCTGTACATCAGCATACCTCCTGTACTTCCAGATTATGTCATAACTGTGCATCAGATCTGTCTAGCTATTTTAAGTCTCTTATCGACTTGTGTTACGGTATCTTAGTTGAAGTCCAGCTTACGTAAGTCATCCTCACCTTAAAGCTCAAATACGTCATTGTACGTCCACAGTGGGAGTACGGTGAAGTATTTGGGCTTTATTGTCAGATAGACTTATGCAGACTGGACTTCGGCTAATATACCGTAACATAGGTCAATAAGAGACTTGAAATAGCTAAACAGATCTGATGCACAGTTATGACATGGTCTGGAAGTACAGGGAGTACGCTGAAGTACGGCATTTTCAGTTTTTCCCCTCTTGAACAGATCACATCTTTTGGTTTCACCCATAAATAAATTAGTGATTAGTTTTCAGGATAATATTGCAATATAAAAATCTATTGTATACATTGCTTGGACGTGTAAAGATATTTGAATTTATGTAAATTAATTAGAGATTTACAAATATCAAATTATAATTTAGATGATGCGGAACAAGCTGTCGGTGTATTGGTAATCAAAAATGGCAAACGTATTATCGGTATATACATACGAATCTATAGTGGTGAACGTTAGTTGAGAACAGTTGTATTTTAGAGTTTTCTTCTTGATGATAAGTCACTAGAAAAAATAGGAAGATACATGTGACTAGCTGAAAGGATTATCTATCAGGATTCATGAAACTAATGGCTACAGTAAAACTGCTTGGATAAGGATGTCTGGTAAACTAGGACCTCAAAAATCAGTTCTATGGCATCCATTTGAAGCTTTTTGGAAACGGTCTTGTTTGATAGAACAAAATGAGGTGTCTTCGTTCTCTTCTTCGAACTGCATCCAATTTAAGAAAGGTTTGAAAGTGTCAAACACAACAAAATCATTGAAATTTTTCATAACAACAAAAGAAAAACGCTCCTTAGACCGTCTCTAAATTGAATGCAAATCGATGAAGAGAATGAAGGCATCTCATTGTGCTCTATTAAATGAAAACTATTTCTAAAAAGCTTCACATGGATGTGAGAAAATTGGTTTCGAAGGAATTTTAGTTTTCTGAACATCTTCACCGAAGCAGTACTATTGTAATTTGTAAGCCCACAAAATCCGATAGAGAATTCTTTTAGCTATTCAGATGTTTTTTCAGCATTCTTCCTAGAGACTTACCATCGAGAAGAAAACTTAAAAATACAACGGTTCTAAACTTTTGTTCGTCATTATAGTTTCTAATTATTTTTGAGTAAATTAAATGGATATTTTTTTTTTTTGTTAGATGAATACGAATGGAAATACGACGACTGTGCGCTACCAAAAGATGAACAACTTGTTATATATGAATTACACATTGGTGATTTTTCCGGTGGTGAAGGTGATTCAAATGCTCGTGGTACATTTAAAAATTTAACAAAGAAAATTGATTATTTAAAAGAATTGGGTGTTCATGCAAGTGTGTCTATTTTTTTTAGTGTTTTATGAAATTGATTGAATCTATTTTTTTTTCTTATTCAGTTGAACTTATGCCAATCAAAGAATATCCTGGTAAAAAGAATTATTTAAATAGATAAAGAATTTATTACGATTCTGTTTTTCTTTTGTTCTATAGGAAATCATTCTTGGTAAGAATAGTTGTTATTTATATTTGATAATTGTATAATTTTCTAATTTTTATCATCAATTAATACTGTTACTTTAGGGGGTATGTATTCACACTCTATTATCTATATAGTTATATACTCAAATATCATCTAGTTATAATCCACGATATCATTTTGCTATTGAAACAAGTTATGGTCCAACAGCTGATTTAAAAGAAATGATTGATGAAATGCATAAAAATGGTATTCGTGTTATTATGGATGGTGTAAGTACATGTGTCTATAATATTTATACTCTTATTGATTATTTTTATATAAGATTATGCATTTTTTTTGTATATTTAGGTATACAATCATAGTGATTCTGCTGCACCATTAACACAAATTGATCATGATTACTGGTATCATCATCATCCAAAAGATATAACTAGTAAGAAATTTAGTTTTTGTCTTGCTCTTTGATAAGTATAGAAATGATTAAGATGTAGAACCACTCAAAAATATTATGTAACAGGTGATGAAGTAGAGTTTGATTTGAAGTTGAATTATGAAATTTATTGCAATAAGCGAGACTTAATGTATGCAATATATATGAGAATGAGATAAATAACTAATTAGACGATCGCCAGATCAGTTTTTAGGCTCGGTTCCATCACTTACATCGTTCAATCTGTTCAATGAATACGAAAAAAGATCTCTGCACACAGTCAAAATTCCAAACCAAGCATAAGAATGAAAGTCGATAAGTAATTCGTCTAATAATAAATTTTTCTCGAATACAGTCTTATTTTTCTGCAATAATTAAAGTTATTGATAATGATTAGCATTTATTCAGTATCCCAGTTTCAGTCATTATTTGTTTTATGTAATTAAGTATGCAGCACTTCTAGTGGAGTAGTATACAATGCTTGAGGATATTGATCATCCTACTTGAGTCAAAATTAGGAACTCAGTAACTAGAGCCTGTCTGGTTGGTCGTGAACCCAATCGAATCCGGATTTTAGACTTTCTACTTTCTATTTCATTCTTTGCTTTAATCAATTTGAAATTAAATCCATACACTAACAATATGGTTTTTTTTCATAAACTTACTAATTTTTCTATTAGACTAGATTCGAAGGCTAGCGTCTACATGAATGTATGCTTTTTCATTAAAGTATTCTTAATTATTTTTTAGTGTCATGGGGACCTGAATGGAATTACAGTATGTAAATTAGTTAAATAAACAAAAAAAAAGCATTTTTCTTTCCTACTAATTAGACTTCTATGATCCCAAGTTTAATGTTTGGCCAGCTCGAAAGTTTGTTGGTGATTCAATTCGTTATATGGTAGAAGAATTTCATCTTGATGGCATTCGTTTTGATGCTGCTCGACAAATACAAAATTTTGATTTTCTTCATTGGGTTGTTGCAGAAGTTAAAAAAATAGCTCCACACAAACCATTTTATTGTGTAGCAGAATTTTTACCTGATGAACCTTGTATAACAAATATTGATGGTCCTATGGATGGATGTAATATCATATTGACTTTTAATTTCAGTTTTTTTACTAGTTAAAGAAAAACTATCTTTTAGGTTGGCATGATAGTTTCTATTGGACGGTACGTGATATATTACTTAATAATAACGTTGATATGGGTCGATTAAAAGCGTGTATTGATTGTCGACAACAAGGATATTTTGGTGTAGCAAATGTTGTTAATTATATTGGAAATCATGATCATGATCGACTACTTATTGAATTAGGTAAATAAATTGTTTGATTGGTTTCAGAAAAAAAAAGAAAAAGAAGCAATTGAAAATTTGTATTTAGGTAAACAACGCAATATGTTCGGTGAAGAAGCATTTAAACGTCTACGTCTTGGTGTTGTTTTACAAATGACAAGTATTGGCATTCCATTGATTTGGATGGGCGAAGAATTTGGAGAGTAAGTTCTTTTTTTTTTTATTGTAATGATTAAAAAAAAACAAATATTGTTTTTAGATACAAAGAAAAAACAATTGGTACTGCAAAAATCGATTGGTCATTAATTGCTGATCGTGAAGATAATTCTAATCAAATGAATAAAAAATTATTAAACTTCTATCGTGGTATAATTCGCTTACGTGAAAAAAATAAAGCATTTTTTACAACAAATCTGAATTTTATTCATGAAGATGATAATACTAAAGTATTAGTTTATCAACGATGGTAATTCGAAAGAAAAATAGATCTGATTCATATTAAATTAATTATTATTCTTGTTGTTCTTTAGGGCTGATTCAGGTGAACGAGTTGTCGTTATTGCTAATTTATCAGAAAATTTTCTCGGTAAATTTTAAATACAAAATTAAATTATTTCTGATTGTATAAATAACTAAAAATTTCTATGTGTTTTTTTTCAAATAGCTCAATATCGTGTACCAAATATGCCAGCAAATGGTTGGTGGCATGAATGGACATTTGATTATAATGTGAAAGTTGAGAATAATGAAGTACATCTCGATATAGCTGAGCATGAAGCAAAAATTCTTGTTTATGTTGGTGATAATTTTCAACCAGCAACACCTTCATCAGAACCAGTAGTTAAATCAAATCCTGCTAATGAATCAAATAATACTTCTCAAGAACAAAAACAGCCAGATTCTTCATTAAAATAGAATTCTTAAGTGGCTTTGTCTAAAATTATACCACAGTCATAAATTTGTTTGACATAATGGGACGGTGGTTTTTGCCATAAATTATCTGTTCTATTTTTTTTTCTTTTTTTTTAATGTGTACCCCAAATCACCTTTGACAAATGATCCAATTTTTTATTTTCAAACTTCTTCTTTAATTGCCTATTTCTTGAACCATTCTTTTTAATCATAGCTATTCACCGACATTTTTCTTTTTTATGTGTTCTATTTATTACATGAAATGTCTATTTCTTTTACAAAGTTAATTCGCCATTCATGTAATAAAATCTATTAAAAATTATTATTTTCGGAAAATAAAATAAATATATTATCACACCACAATTTCCTTTACATGTATGTTTTTTTGTTATAAAAATATATCGTTGTTCGCTTTATTTTAATCAGAATATTTATTTTTCCAATCACTGGTGATGTTGCGAAAACTACAAGAAAGAAGATATTAAAAACAAAATTAAACAATGTTGTGTTTTTAATCTTCATTTTAATAAAAACTTTGAAGTATTATATAGAAACTAATAATTATTAACATTTTAATTCTATTTCCATATTTAATAGAATTTAGTAGTCGGTATGCTCTTGTTTGAAATTCAGTAATTTGAATTTCCGCGAATTAATCTTTCAGCAACCTCAATTTCGATAAGTTTGATTTCGGCGATGAAGTACACAAACATGTGCAAGAATGACTTTCTGTTAAGATGTGGATCTTATTACGATTGTATTATTAATAGAATAAATGTTTGATTAACAAGAAAAAAGATGGTCTCACTTAAAATTACTAGTCTTATGTATTCATTATCTAGAATGTTGCTCAATGTATTTTGACAATATTCGAAGTTTTTGTCGATTTATTTTGACTAACAGGATTTTTTTCGCTAAGTTAACGTCTTAGTTATTACTATGAGATCTATTTAATGAAATGATTGTAGATTTGTTTCTTTGAAATGGAAGATGAGGTCTCTTAATTTACGAAGCAATATTTTTCTTGATATGATTCAAGTTGTCGACGATTTCAATAGTGAAAACTATTAGAATCATACTACAGCTTATAATAAAATATTTGATAATTTAAACCAAATATTCCATGTTACTTAGAATCATTCTTTCTTCTTTGATACGTCACTGTACTATTTTGAAAATGAAAAAAACAACAAGAAATGCAGAATGTAAGATACTACTGACTAATATCTCTATTATACTCGTGGTTGATTAAAATCTACATCTCTTTCCGACCATTCATTTTTATTATATTTGATTTTTTATTTCTCTCAAATGTTGTAATCAGATGTATGCCATATGATCAATATCACCATGCCGATACTTCACATATATTGAGAAGGACATAAATGCTTTATTGTCACTCTATTTTAACTTTAAGCTTATTAATATCTGTCCTTGTTCAAATATTTTACTTCCTCATTTTGAATACACAGAAACCAGCGTCGGTGAACAGTAGACATGCTCTCGTTCATATTCATCTGAAAAATTTTTTTCTTATATCGGAAATGTTTTTATGCATTTTCTGTACGGTTTTTTACTACGAACAAACAATATTTAAAGATCATTACACGTTAAATATGTCTATATTATCCCCATACTAATGTACTCAAATAGGACACTAGAAGCTCGTGATATAGTGGCTAAGAGGTAAATTTTCACATTAATAACTGTAAATGTATGCCTACCATGTCTGATTTTAATCGAAATACTTGGAGACAATCGATATTAAAACTACGAAAATAATATCATTTTTATCGCACTATGTAGAAGCTAATGATGTCATTAGCAAAATTTTATCTAGCATACATTTTGTTTTCACCTGTTTAAAATCCCAAAGCACAACTAGAAGTATATTCTTGTTTTTTTTCAAACTTTGCTTTCACTCCGCTTTCCTTTCATCCAATGATGCTTTCCTACATAATATTAATGTTCCTCGTAATAATGGGGAAATCGATGAGCTCGATTACACCGACCTATCATATAGTGAATACAACTGCAAACTATTCAATATACTCAGACCATGCAAATTATTCAACTGATACATCAACAGCTTGGTACCAGCTGCATTCAAGTACTACTACCTACCCTACACAATCATCAACTCAGTGGTATCCGTGGAATACTGACTATGAAACTCCTTCATCAACAGCTTGGTACCAATTACATTCCAGCACCCCTAGATACCCTACACAATCATCTACTCAGTCGCATCCATGGCATACTGACTATCAAACTGCTTCATCAACAGCTTGGTAC